ATGGGAGCACGGATGGTGTAAGCCTTGGCCTGAGCCGTAGAGTCTTTCTCGGCAAAGAGGAGTGCGGTGGAGACCTTGGCAAAAATGAGGTCTTCCGCAGTCAGTGTGAGGAGCATCTTCCTTGTGATTTCATAGGTTGTGGTGAGACCAACGAGAAGAGCTGCTGCAGGGGCCTGTTCGGGGAAGACTATACCCAGCTCCTTGAGTTCGCCATGAATGGTCTGAACCTTGGCAATGTAGTCGGCCATTCCCGAGCAATCCTCAAGGGGGACCTGGAACATGCTGGGGATGAGGATGGCAACTCCGACTGCAGTCTTGTTCATAAACCGATCCTGGAGATACTTCCAGATGGCGTTGGAGGTAGGGTAGTTATGGAACGTGTTGACAAGTTCTGGAGGGGTGGAGGCGATGAAGACGCTGATAATTGCAGCATCGGCCTTCTCCCACTTCCGGTACTTCTCAACGGCTTCCTCATATGCCTTTGTGTCAGCCTCACTAGCGGATTCGGTCGGCTCGCGAGGGAGAAGGGGCTGTTTCCCCTTGCCACGGTTGAGGAGGACATCCTTGAGGTCCAATCCCTGCTCGTCACGGCTCAGCAGGTGCTTGTCAACCCCATAGCTCCATGCCTTGAAGTTGGAGCTAGAGCCATCGGTGTCAAGACGGAGTGGGGTGATGGGGTTGGCCATGGTGGACGAGGCGAATGCCATGATGGAGACCCCTTAGGGTGTCGCGCGGAGCGCCGCTCTTGAGTCAACGATAGGAACTTGAGGTTTGGGGTTTTCGAAGGAGATTTTGAAGAACCGGAGGTTTAGGGTTTACGAAAGAGAATTTTGAGGTTTAGGGTTTCTGAAGGAGAATTCGACTGAAACGCCAATTTAGTGTCAACTACCTACTAATCCTATTCCCACACACCCCCCCACACACCACCCTCAGCTTCTCGGCTGCGCTGCTGCTCGGCTTCGCGGCTACACGGCTGCTCGGCTTCGCTGCTGCTCGGCTGCGCTGCTGCACCTGTTCAGCTGCGGGAAAGGGAGGGGGATGGGGGTAGGAGTGCAGATGCGGGGCGACGGGCGGCAGCCCGAAGGTGAAGCTGCAGGGCGACGGGCGACAGCCCGACGAGGTATCATGATCCGCGTGTGCGGTTTGAAGGGCTCTGATACCATCTTAGAACTTAGGCTTAGAAAGGATACATTAGTAATGAGCTTGAAGCTCTTTAAGTACATCCAAGAAGGGGAGGGAATGGATGGGGAAGGGAATCGGGGGCAATCCTTAGGGATTGATGGTAATCCCAAGGCAATCTCCAATTGGTGGGTTGGAGATTGCTTGGAGATTACACTTGGGTTTGGTTGGGATGTAGGTGTACACCCAACCAAACACAATGTGCAAACTACACTACTCTAGGATATAGAAAATACAAAGTACAAAGTGTGAGATTGAAGGCTAACACTAACAGCCTGCTGTGGTGAGCTGCTTACTTATTGTGATCTCAGCTAGAATGGGGCCTGCATGGTGCTGGCAGGAACTGCCTCTGCCAATGTGCTCCAGCCGCTGTGCCATGTGGCTGACACCGGCGACGGTGCTGCCGTCCCTGCTGTGGTGGGCTTCTTGCCCTTTGTTCCTCAGATAGAATGCTGTCTGCATGCTGCTGGCCGGCACTGCCTCTGCCAATGTGCTCCAGCCGCTGGGCCATGCCAACGAGGTAATATATGCCCACTCCCAGGGTGTGGCAGCGTGCACCCCATATCTTTGGGGTTGACAAGCAAGACCGGCACGTGGGGTTGAACCCGAACCCACTCGCTTCGGAAGTGACCCAACTAACAGCTGAACCACTTCAGTCGTGTTTTAAGTTGACTCAAAACAGTGACCCAACTAACAGCTGAGCCACTTCAGTCGTGTTTTAAGTTGACTCAAATCAGTGACCCAATCAACAGCTAAGCCACTTCAGGATGGGCAACATTGTTACAAGAGTTCAGGATGAGCATAGATCATGCTCTTGTCCTCGCTTGCGAGAAGTCGCATGCTAACGCAACTGTAACCACCGTGCTGCGCTGCCTCTCCCACTCACTCTCTCCTCTCCCCTCTCTTTTCTCGCCTCCCTCTCCACTCTCCGCGCCAGTGGCAGCAAGAGCATGCATACATCTACTCTGCGCTCTCCTCTCTCCTCACAACAGCACAGGCAGCAGGGCAGGGCACAGTCCGCTCCCTTTCATGTGCGTGACGTGAGAATGATGCTCTTGATTACATGCTCGCATGCTTTTATGCCCACAGTCCCACATGCCCACCACATGCTCACATGCTGACCAACAAGCTCACATACATGCCATATGCTCACTTGCTCATATCTCGTTTCTCATCCCCCAGCTCCCATCCCAATGGAGCCCCAAGTAGGAGCCATGGCTTGCGTGGCAGCGGCTGCTTTAGCAAACAGTTGCTTTGGTTAGTTTTTGCTTGCTTTTAAAAACCTTTGTGTAAGAAAACCTTCGTTTCTCATCCCCCAGCTCCCATCCCTCGAGGTGACTTTTGAGTCGACTCAAAAGTCACCTCGTTGCCATATGCTCACTTGCTCATATCTCGTTTCTCATCCCCCAGCTCCCATCCCTCATCCCCCGTCACTGCTTTTCCTTCGGATACCCCTCTAAGCCCCGTCACTGCTTTTCCTTCGTATCTCCCGTCACTGCTCTAAGCCCTGCATTTCTCTGATCCCCTAAACTCTCTCCCCACCAGTCTTCACCGCTCACTGGTACGCCTCTCTCCTAGCGCGCCTGCATCTCAACGCCTTCCGCCTCGCGCCGCTCCTCTCTGTCACCACCACTGCAGCAGCGGCTGACCACTCTCTCTTCGACTCAACCATGCCAGACGGCATCTTGCTCTCCTCGGCTGCACTCTTTCGAGCAGCGAGTGCAGCAGTGACGGGCGACGAGGCGGTCGGTACGGGGGTGTACCTCCTTCCTTCCTTGTTCAACCATGACTGCGGTGGGTGCTCTTAGCTTGATGCCTGCAACAAGCAGAGCACGCAGACACAGACACGGGGGTGTACCTCCTTGCTTCCTTTCTCAACCATGACTGCGGTGCGTGCTCTCTGTTTGGTGCGTGCTCTCTGTTTGGTGCGTGCTCTCTGTTTGGTGCGTGCTCTCTGTTTGGTGCGTGCTCTCTGTTTGGTGCGTGCTCTCTGTTTGGTGCGTGCTCTCTGTTTGGTGCGTGCTCTCTGTTTGGTGCGTGCTCTCTGTTTGGTGCGTGCTCTCTGTTTGGTGCGTGCTCTCTGTTTGGTGCGTGCTCTCTGTTTGGTGCGTGCTCTCTGTTTGGTGCGTGCTCTCTGTTTGGTGCGTGCTCTCTGTTTGGTGCGTGCTCTCTGTTTGGTGCGTGCTCTCTGTTTGGTGCGTGCTCTCTGTTTGGTGCGTGCTCTCTGTTTGGTGCGTGCTCTCTGTTTGGTGCGTGCTCTCTGTTTGGTGCGTGCTCTCTGTTTGGTGCGTGCTCTCTGTTTGGTGCGTGCTCTCTGTTTGGTGCGTGCTCTCTGTTTGGTGTACCGACTCTGAGTGGCGAGTGCTACAGTGGCGGGGGTCGGCACGGGGGTGTACCTCCTTCCTTCCTTTTTCAACCACGACTGCGGTGCATGCTCTCTGTTTGGTGTGCGGACCTACTCTTGTGGTGCCTCAACTCTCCACAGCAGCACTCTTCCGAGCAGCGAGTGTGGCGGTGGCGGGGGATGAGGCGGTCGGTACGGAGGTTTATCTTCTTCTTCCTTGTTTTTCCAGCCATGACTGAAGTGCGTGCGTGTCCTGTGAGGCATGCTCGGGTCTATTCTTGAGGCTCCTCAACCACCCTCTCTGCTCACGTACTTACCCCTCCGCCCATCCACCCCTCCAACCGTCCATTACCCAGACCCCAATCTGGACATCTCATGGCCCACTGACACTACAGCCACGCTCCAAGATGCTCTCATGGTCACATGCTTTCCCGTGGATCCATCCACCCGTGCCCCCATCTACCCTCCCCATTGCCAGACCCCGATCTGGACATCTCATGGCCCACTGACGCTACAGCCGTGCTCCGAGCCAGACGGGATATTGAAGCTGGTGAGGCTGTGCTGTATGGATTCCTCATCTGTTGAGATAAGATAAGTCTACTGTATTGCTCCTCTTGTTCTCTGTATCTCCTGCTGCTGTATCTCCTGCTGCTGTCCCTGATGATGATGATGATGATGATGATGATGATGATGATGATGATGATGATGATGATGATGATGATGATGATGATGATGATGATGATGATGATGATGATGATGATGATGATGATGATGATGATGATGATGATGATGATGATGATGATGATGATGATGATGATGATGATGATGATGATGATGATGATGATGATGATGATGATGATGATGATGAGGCTGATGCTGATGATGCTGAGGCTGATGCTCCTGCTGCTCATCACCGACCGTATCTGCCACCCCACATGCCCATACCTCCAGGAGAGCACCTCACAATAACGTACCTGGACAGCAGCCTCGGGAGGGAGGCTCGGCAGAGGCATCTGAAAGGGGCGTATGGGTTTCACTGCACGTGCCAGCGCTGCCAGCAAGGGGACCTGTAGATAACTGGTATGACCATTGAAGGCGACCTTTGGTTGGTACGGTAGATATCGTCGCGTGTTGATTTGAATGAACAGAAAGCATATTCATTCATTCGTTTGCACCGAAAGTGGTAGTCTCAAATAAGGAGCTCGGCAGAGGCATCTGTATGAGGCATATGGATTGCTGCTGCACTGCACCCGCCAATGCTGCCAGCGAAGGAATCCAATAGCTGACCCATATTCGGTCTGGTGGTGCGTCTGGTATGCCTTGACCAAAAATATTTTGTAAAAAGATGTTGGTGCTTAGATGGTGCTCCCTGGAGTGTTCTGAAGCACTTGTGTTTTTTATTCGAAAAAAATATATTCTGCACTACAAGAGTTGCATCCACATACTGCATTTCTAATGGTCACCACAATCACACGCATCAGCAGCTGAAGTAGTGCAAGTCATCATCCATCAATTGACCCATCAGCCTCAAAGGGTCATGTCCTCCTCCTAACCCTGCTAGGCCTCCTCCCAAACCTCCTCCTAAGCCTCCTGCTATCCCTCCAGCTATCCCTCCTGCCATTGTTGCAGCAGCATCACCCATCCCGAACATGTTCTCATGACCATCAACACCACCAGCACCAGCAGCAGCACCACCGCCGCTGCCGCCACTGCCACTGGCGCCGTTGCTGCCACCATAACACCCCATCATGCCCCCATCCCACATACCCAACTCATCAGCACCCCCCCCACCACCAATCGCACACTCCTCTCCTGCCAGTTTCTCAAACCCACCGAACTGGCCCACACCAGCAGCAGCACCACTCCCCTCCGCCCCGTCAGCTTCATCCCGAACCTCCGCCATAGGCTCGGTCATGGTCCGGCCGAGCGTGCGCTCGCCAGGCACCAAGGCTTGGAGGTCCGACAAGACTCGGCGCTTCATCCTGGTTTGGAGCTGGCCCTTGGCCCACGATCCAACGGTTGCGATCAACTCCTCCTGCTGCTGCTGCTGGGCGATTATAGCAGCGAGGCGCGGCGAGATGGCGGGAGCAGCAGGAGAAGCAGGCGTGGCAGAAGGGAGGAGAACGGACGGACGAGTGAATTGGTTACTTGCGGAGTTACCAGTGCTGCTACTCTTGCTGACGCCCCCGATGTTGCTCAAGCCTGTGTTGCTCAGAGCATGGCTGCTGCTGATGTTGCTCACTCGGTTGTGGTTGTTGCTCACTGCATCATTGCTAGATGTCATGCTTCCGATGCCCCCGTCGCTCCCCGTTTTCTCACCTGCTTCACCGACGCTTGACAGCCCAGCTTTCTCCTCTCCCAGTCGCGCCATCTGCTGTTGCTGCTGCTGCTGGTGTTGCTGCTGCTGCTGCTCGTGTTCCTGCAACTGCTTGTGTAATTCATCTCCGTGTTGCTGCTGCTCCTGAAGCTGCCTCTGCAGCTGCAGCTGCTGACGGTTCAGCTCTCTCCTCCGCTTCTCCAACTGTTGATGCTGGCTCGGATGATGCTGCTGCTGTTGCTGCTGCTGCTGTTGCTGTTGCTGCTGCTGCTGCTGCTGCTGCTGCTGCTGCTGCTGCTGCTGCTGCTGCTGCTGCTGCTGCTGCTGCTGCTGCTGCTGCTGCTGCTGCTGCTGCTGCTGCTGCTGCTGCTGCTGCTGCTGCTGCTGCTGCTGCTGCTGCTGCTGCTGCTGCTGCTGCTGCTGCTGCTGCTGCTGCTGCTGCTGCTGCTGCTGCTGCTGCTGCTGCTGCTGCTGCTGCTGCTGCTGCTGCTGCTGCTGCTGCTGTCGCATCTCCTCTCCCTGCTGCTGCTGCTGCTGCTGTTGCTGCTGATTAATAGCAATGCCACCAGCCATGCTGCTGTAAGCCGGGTAGGGATGGCCCATGGGGGGCATGTGGAAGGCGTACGGATGGGCAGAGGCATGCGCTGCATGTGCTGCATGTGCTGCATGTGCGGCATGGGCCGCATGTGCCATGTGATGGTGGTGCATGGATGGTGGTCCCATTCCTGCCATACCCATCATGTTGCCGGGCTGCCCGAACATCATCCCTGGAAACATTTCTCCGAACTGCCCGCTGCCCGGGGCAGCTCCTGTCGGCAGGCCAATGGCAGGAGGCGGGTGAAAGGAATCACCCGGAAAGCTTCCTTGTCTCAATAACTGAGCTTGATGCTGATGGTGCTGCTGCTGCTGCTGGTACTGCTGCTGGTGCTGCTGGTGGTTGTTGTAAGGGAAATTCGGGTGGGATACTGGCTGTGCAGCAGCAGCAGCAGGCTCTGCAGCAGGAGTGGCAGGAGCGGGAGGGGCACGGGAGGAGTTTGAGAGCCTTGACTTGGATTGACTCTGCTGACCGTGCTGCTGCATGCTCGCCTTGATGGCGGCGGCTGTAGCAGCCGCGGACGCGAACGCGGCAGGGTCCTTGCCAGACGGCTTGCTGCTGCCGCCACCACTCGCTACAGCCGAACCACCAGCAGAACCAGCCACACCAGCAGCGCCGGCGGCGGCGGCGGGATTTCCAGAAGGAAGGAAGGAGGAGGCACTCGCGCTCCTGCGAATGGGGCAGCTGCTGCCACCACCGGTGTTAGCACCACCGGTGTGAGCACCAGTGACGCCAGCAGCGCCAGCAGGAGCAGGGGAGCTCGAACCTGCGAGCTTCGGGCGGAACGGGCAGGAGGCTTGGTGAAGGTTCCGGGCGTTGCGGTCAGCAAAGGCGTTGCTCCACTGGTGCTTCGGGCAGCGGTCGAACGGGCAGAGAAAAACCCGGTGCTCAGGAGCCAAAGACCCCGCACCCTGTGTGAGCGAAGCAGCAGCAGCGGCCGCGGCAGAAGCGGCAGAAGCGTTGGTGAGGTTGCTTGTACCGGAGAACACAGTAGCGGGGATGTTCAAAATTTCTTGCTCCGTCTTGACTCTGCTAGCCGAACGGCCAGGTGCTTCAGGCGCGTACTCGTCGTAGTCCGCCCCGTTACCAGCCGCGGATAATTTAAAGCTCCGCTTATCCTCCCCCGCTTCAATCGCGCCGGCGCGCATCTTTCCGCTCATAATTTCCGCCAGAAGCGCGTTCGTGTCCACGCCCGTCAAGTCCGCTCCGTGGATCCCTCCACCAATTCCGCCGGTAATTCCGCCGTCGCGCTCAAACGCACCCGCGCCGGGGGTTCTTACGGGCGATCCGGCAGCGAACGGGTCGAATTTCGCAGCGTCTTCGAGCCGCCCTTGCGCTTTGAGAATTTCCGCCTCCTCCTGGTCGAGCACGGCGTTCCACGTGGCACTCTCCCGCGCCGTCATCTTATCCTGCAGGCACTTGCTCTGACGAACCAGCTTCCGAATGCGCGCCACGTCAGGACACAGATGCCGAATCACTGACGTCAGCACGCCCACTTTCCACGCCTTCTTCAAATCGTGCGGTTTCTTGTACGGCGGCGGGCCGGTGCCACGTGTCAGCCCCAGCTGCGGCCACCATTGCTCCTCCCCGGACGGCCACCAGGGCGGCGGAACGCCCTTTTCGAGCGGAAATCTCCGCTGCGGGGGATCGCAGTGCTGCATCAGCGCCGAGAGAAGCGATCCCAGCGTCGTATCCTGCAGCTCCTGCAGCGTCTGCGGCGTCGCGAGCGCAGAAACCATCCCGCTCCCGCCAATTCCGCCAGCGCCGGGGACCATCCCGCCGGGAAACACGCTACCGTTCCCCCCGGCAGCAGCGGCGGCGGCGGCGGAAGAAGCGGCGGCCTGCTCCGCGTTGAAGCGCGCAATCGCCGCGGGGCCGTTGCGGTCGAAGCGCACCTTGTCCTTCCACCACGCGCGCAGATTGTCGGAGCTTCCGCCAACTGGCTTCCCCTTTTCGGGAATAATTCCGTACACGAAGCCCTGCGCGTTACACACCTCCATCATTTTGAGCATGTATTTAAGTATGCCGTCGTGCGCGCGCGACATCTTTTTCCGCCGCGCCTGGTCCTGCTGCGACTGCCGCTGCCGCGTCTTCTGCTCGTCCTCGCCCGCCGCGTCCTTCGGCGCATCCCCCGCCGCGTCTCCCGCCGCATCTCTCGCCTCATCTGCCGGAGCCGTCATCTCGCCGTCTTTCGCTTTCTGGCCATCCTTGATTCGCTTCAGCTTCAGGCGATCCTTCCACATGCGACGCTCCAATTCGTCGACGTCAAACTCGTCGTCGGAGAAGCAGTCGCCGAAGTCGCAGGCGTCGCCTGCGATGAAATCCGCCATGTCGCCAAGATCGAGCTGACCGTTGATTAAGATTTCCGATTCCATCTTCTTGATTGAAGGAGCTGACTGCTGGAGAAGCAGACTTATTTTCAATCACTAAGGTTGAAACAGTCGAGTCGGCTCATATAAACCCTGGATGAACGGTAACTCGCTAATACACCTCCGCGATCTGGTACGTGAAATGTCCTCGAGCCTCGGAGCAGGAGCGGGTGACGCGGCGACACGTGGCACACCGGCCTGATAGGCTCACAGAGTGTGGCTGGAAAGGATGTTCCCAGAATTGTTCCGAGAATTTTAATATCCCGACAGAAAGAACTGGAGAAGTCTTTCAAAGCTGGTGGGATATGGCGGGAAGATGAGCTGCTTTAGGGAATCGATGCTGACGGAGTGAGGAAGCAGCGAAAATTGGTTTCAGAGACAAACTTCGACTCATAAGCGATCGCTAAGCGGCCAGCAGTTAGAACATCCTAGTTTCGAATCACTTGATTTCGATTTGACACTGGAATTGCTGTCTGACAGAGTGTGGAGCGCAATACTGAATGGCTGAAGTAGTGATGCAAAACCGGTGCTAGCAGGATGAGGTCGAGAGCAGCCGACGAGCACGAGGAGCGAGTTATAGCACAGACAATAGATGCTGGTGCTCACAAGAGAGATCTCTATTGACTAATATTCGTCCTCTCTGGGCCAGTCATATTCTCGCGTCAGGAATCCGGCAGCGCGACTATGGCGAACTGGGGTGGTTATGAACAGAAGATAAGATTACAAGCGACAAGAAAGATGGCGGTGGTGAGGGAAGGCGAGGCGAGCTTGTGTGACTGGCTGATGGGAGAAGAAAGGAAGTGGTTGAAGATCGTTGTGGCAGTCCCAGGCTTGAGGGCTGCCCCGGTTTGTGGCTGTAAGAGCGCTCCTCTGAGTCTCAAGAGCTGAGGGATGTGAGGGATGATGGTGCAAGGAAGGAAGCTAAATGGGTGGCTTTGAGATGATTCGCTGTGACAGCGCGATTTACACTCGTGGCGCTGGGAGCTGTTCAGGGCTGGAAGGAGGGGACGCGCTGTGCATGCGCTGTGAGCCTCAGGAAGTCATTAGTCAATTGCTAAGGACGACAGAGGAAGAGAGCGAGAGGAGAGGGGAGAAAGGAGCGTAGGAAGAGAAGTGAAAAAGGGCGTTCAGCTCCTTCCCCTCCACCACTCATCCTTCCACTTGGGCAATTTCCACGACTTGGAAAAGTCGAATCCATAGCTCGAGCGAATTGGACAAGCGAACAGCAAACTGCAGTGCGTGTGTGGCTGCAAGGAGGATGTTTCTCCTTGGCCACTGACGAAGTGGATAGGGATTGCGAAAAGGTGTCAAGTTGGTGGGGGTAAGATCAAACCACTGCTTACCTAACACATCAGCATCCGCAAATCCTGAGAAATGCGCCAATTGGGCGATTCAACAGAATCTGACCACATTTGCTGATTATTTCCTAGGTTGAAGTTCGAGATTTGAGCAAGGTACACGTCAGCCCTTGTAATATCAAGATCACTCATACCCACACGTTTGGTCAGCTAGAGCGCAGAAACTCCAAAATTTACCGAAGCAGAGAGCACACGCGAACAGCGAATGGTGGGAGCTGCCCTGTCAAGAACCACCCACCCATTGGGAACAGTATTGCTGATCTGGCCAATACAGAGAGAGCTAGGAGCAAGCCATCTGGTTTGGAACGAATGGAACAAAATGTTTTTGAAAGAATAAATGATTTCGCAGGCTGGGTAAAAAACTAACTGTTTTACCTAAGCTGCTTGATTTCCATCGTGTAGCCCTTCAGTGTGTGTCAGAGGAAGTCTTGGTCGTTTGAATACAGTAAATGTCAGAAGTCATGACATTCTGCTCGGGGTAAGTAACTTTGGAAGGGCTTACACTAGCGACCCTGTGCTCCGAGGGGGCCTACAGTGCAAGTAGAGGGCACTTTCCACCCCTCCGTGCCTCAGACAGGGAAGTTATAGAAACAGGACAGGGCAAATCCCCACATTCACCCACGTGTCAACAATTTCCTTGCCACCTACTGTACTGGACATCTGACCATCTGTGCACAACAGATTTTTGTCCCCACTGCAAAATCGAATCCACAAACTGGGTGGCTCGGCTGCCACACTGTTCCGAAATCCGCTAGGCTACTGTTTCGCGCCCAGATTTTCGGAACGGCCATCAAGGCAGACGGAAACGACAACGGAGTAGCTCTCCGTCAAATCTTTCGAGTGACTTTTCCCGTCAGGGGTTTCTGTCACACATAACAGAGTCGCGATTTTGTACATGGGCGATACAACAACACATATCACAGCTGATAAATTTATGTTTCATATTCAGAAATATGAATATTGAAATATGAGTTTAGGGTCTCGCAATTAGTTTAGGGTACTCAATCTTCTTAATGCACGAATGAAGCATATGGGAGTACAATTCAGACTTCGAAATCGTAATTTCAAATGTCAACCAACTTGATATGCATACTACAGTCTGTGGAGGAAGCGATGTGATTTGCGCTGAAACACACACACACACACACACTTACACACACACACACACACATACACACCCACATACACACACACACACACACACACACACACACACACACACATATTTCAATATTCATATTTCTGAATATGAAACATAAATTTATCAGCTGTGATATGTGTTGTTGTATCGCCCATGTACAAAATCGCGACTCTGTTATGTGTGACAGAAACCCCTGACGGGAAAAGTCACTCGAAAGATTTGACGGAGAGCTACTCCGTTTTCGTTTCCGTCTGCCTTGATGGCCGTTCCGAAAATCTGGGCGCGAAACAGTAGCCTAGCGGATTTCGGAACAGTGTGGCAGCCGAGCCACCCAGTTTGTGGATTCGATTCTGCAGTGGGGACAAAAATCTGTTGTGCACAGGTGGTCAGATGTCCAGTACAGTAGGTGGCATAGAAATTGTTGACACGTGGGTGAATGTGGGGATCTGCCCTGTCCTGTTTCTATAACTTCCCTGTCTGAGGCACGGAGGGGTGGAAAGTGCCCTCTACTTGCACTGTAGGCCCCCTCGGAGCACAGGGTCGCTAGTGTAAGCCCTTCCAAAGTTACTTACCCATTCTGCTCGTGGTAAAAAGTGAACTTTGAAGGCCAGCTGGAAAACACATTCCCCGCCCCAGAAGCAGCACCTGAACTTGGCAGCTGAAGCTGTTGACGCACGCCCACGCAAGCGTGAACAATCGCATTCAAATGGCGGTGGGTAGGGTGGGTAGCAAGAGAGCGAATTTTCGCCAAGAAAGCACAGCTTCCTCTGTTCCTCATCGTGCTGCTATTACCGCGTATAGGTCCGCGTCAAACATCTTGCATTTATACACCAAGCACAAACAGACATTATTACACTTCTCCTTCACATGCTTTACAACTGTAAGGAATTTTCTCGGCATTCCTTACGGAGCCGACTACATCGCGTACAGCAACAGTCGATTGTTCGCCCGTTACTGCTAACGGAACTTCGCCGACTTCGCGCGCACTGTTTTGCCAAACCTCGCACTGCTGGCATGGCCGTATCGGCCTACGCTTCGGGACTAGCCTGAGCCTCGCTCCAGCGTAGCACTAGCAAGCTCGCACGCACCACGTTACCGTTTTGCATGTTTCGCGTATAAACGTTCGCTCATGCCTTCGCTCACATTTTGTACTCGTTTGACACCCTAGTGCAATTCTCGCTACTTCGATTCATTGCACCCGTAACACTTGGTTATCAGAGCCCCTTTCTTTTCGGACCGCGCATCTCCGCACACCAGGAAATCAACTTTTGATTTTTCACTCGAAGGGACTCACGCACCTTAGCCCCTAGGAGCCGCTGTCCTCGCGTTCTCTCGTAAACGCGTGCAGCCACGACTGCGCCTAGACTAAGACGAGCCGACGCCCTTCGTCATGGCTGAAAATATCGACGTCACCACCCTCACGCAGGAGCGTTTGAACGATCTGCTGCGACAACTGCACGAAAGCTCCGAGGAAATCGCGGCATTGACGACAGAACGCTCATCACTGCAAAATGACCTCATGAGAGCACAATCTCAAGCACCTGGCACTCCGATTCAACCCGCACCCTCAACATCACAACACGGGAGTGTGGGGCAACCCGCGAGCGCGGCTAGTGATGGCGTCGTCCGCCCCGACGGAGACGACGACCACGGCACGACACACCCCAGAGCGACGCATGCGGCCCCAAGTCAGCCTCGCGTCACGATTTCGGCACCAACCCACGATTCGGGGCTGCCGTCACCGATGCCACTGAAGCCGCAGCGCCCGCCATGCTTTGACCCGAGTCAACGGGGTGGTCCTACCGTCCAGGCGTGGTTGTTCACAATGAATGTCTTCTTCGACGCCAACTACGTCTCGGAGGACTCGGCGAAGATTCGATACGCCGTGTCGTTGCTGCGAGGACCCGCCATGGACTGGTGGCGCGTCATCGTCACGAAGCCGACCGACTACGCGACACTACCGACACGGGAAGGACAAACCGGACCCTGGGCGCCGTCGTATTTCGTGGAGGTGCCCCAGTATCGCACGTGGGACGCGTGGTGCGCAGGTCTGCGCGCTCGATTTGAGCCAATCGCGGCCTCGATCTCGGCGCGACAGAAGCTCCGCACTTGGCGCCAACTCGGTTCCGTCCAGGATTACACGAGCGGATTTCTGGCGCTATGCGAGCAGGTGGGCTACATGCATGAGAGCGAACGCATCGACCGCTACATCGGCGGCCTGAAGCAGGACATCGCTCAGGAAATCCAGCTTCGCGGCGTCACTGAGTTTCAGGAAATTCTCGCTATGGCGGAGAAGCTCGACTTCTTTCGCCGACCGAGACCGGGGTCCTACGGAAACAACACCTGGGGACATCAGCCTCGTGGGACGAACGAAAGCGCCACGATACGCGCCGTCGCCGTAAATGCTGCTGCCGCACCGTTCAAAGGGCGCTGATTTGCGTGCAATCGGCCGGGACATCGCAAGAGCGAATGCCCGGAAAACGCCAAGGGAAAGGGGGAAGCTGAGC